GTGTGTGTGTGTGTGTGTGTGTGTGTGTGCGTGTGTGTGTGTATGTGTGTGTGTGTGTGAGAGAGAGAGAGAGAGAGAGACCATCAAGTACAAAAAAAAGGCAAGTGCTTCCCGCACTGTTCCACCCACCATTACAAACTTGCAATGACGGGACTGTCTGTCCCCAGGATTCTAAGCACTACAGGTAATTTACAATGACAACACTAAACTGCACGAATGGCGATCTACCATGCATGACCCACAACAACGGACAGCGATCGACCAACGAAGCCTCGCCATGTCTACAACGGCGCACCTACCAACACGACTGCAATGGGAAACCAACCAACAACTCGCCCCCGCCATAAATGGACTCCACAATTGCACAACACACTTCCTAGCTGCTCGGCCGCTGACGAATGGCCTTCGCTATTTCCAGCAATGCGTGGCACATGAGTTTGTTGACTTCGTCTGACGTGGCATAGTGCTTCCTTTGCACTTCCACCTCCGCTTCCAACGCCTCGCACTGCCGGACCTGGATAGAGCATTGCCGCTTGCTCGCACTCTCCATCGTCGACGCCATCAGCTCCCCGTGTTTCTCCATGCATTCCGCCAGCGCCTCGAAAGTCTGCTGCCTCGTGTTCTTCCTTTTCCCAGAACCGCCGAGGGTGCCCGTCGTTTGCGAAGAGCCTCACATCGACCCCTCCTCGTCGTCTTCTCGCCCTGCACCACCTTCCCCGTCCGCCACCGAGTCAGGATCCACGTAAGACGTCGAAGGCGGGCGCACGCCGCCAGGCGCACCAGTGTCTGCCACGTTCCTCAGGTGGATGGTGTGGTTCATCCCAGTCGACCCCTCTATCTCGTCATAAACTGAGCGATCCATCGTGAAATTGAAGCCCCTGCTCGCCCTCTCCTTCGACGTCAACTGGAAAAAGTCGGCACCCCCTGATGGTGATTGAAAGTGATGAACTTTCTTGAACTGCTGCATTAGATTGTCCCACTTCTTCCCGCATTTCTCCGCATTCCTGTACACGCCGACGTTCTTCAACCTTTGGGCGACGTCTTGCCATTTCCATTCTCGCGGTTTCATTCGTGCGTATGCGTGCCCCATCCCCTGCACATGCGCATCTTGGTCACGTTTAGCCCTTATGAGGGCTATAATGTGTTCCACGGACCAGAAGTTGCGCTTCTCCTCCGCATCACCGTCGCCTTCGCCACCGCTCCCCTTTCCCTGCCCTTTTTTCGCCCGCGAACGAGCATTGCGGCCGGAAGGCTTGGACTTCCCACCCTTACCAGCCATGCCGGTCTGCAACGATGGCGACGCGTGACCACCCCCCCCTTTCCCACACTCTACGTCGTTGTCTTCGTCGTCGTCGTCGTCTGCTTCCGCCCGTGGATCGTCCGTCTCGTTCTCGTTCTCCCAGTCTCCCACGTGAAGACGCTCCACCCCACGTGTGATGTATTCCTCTCGCCGCAGCCGGTGATCCCGCCGCAGGTCCCTCCACACCTCCCTCCCGTCGCGACCATCACCAACATCCAAGAAGTCGGTCCCGCCGTCGACTCCGACGCCACGGCCTCGTGCCACTTCCGACGCCGCAGACAGGGGAGATGGCAACTGCATCCACTCCGGCCGACCCTGGGCGCCCTTGGACAAAGAGGCCGCCCGTGGTTGGGCCGTCGACGAGTTCCGGTTCGCTCCCGCCATCTCACTCGCCAACGCCCTCGTCCTCGCTGATCGATCAACAGCTGTCAATTGCCCGCCTTCGTCGCCGGGGTGGGGTCGCACGAGCACTGTGTGTGATGGAGTTGTAGACCGCCCGGTGGACAAACCAAACGACAGGTTGACGCGGCCATCTCCTTCGTCTTCGCCAAGGCCAGGCCGAAGGAGTTGAGTGAACGACTGCTCGTACACGTCGCCGCCCGTCCCGCACAGCTCCGTGGCTGACCATTCCTGCATTGATCCGCAGCCCAACGACACGGTTTGTGGCCATCTCTCCACCTCCTCCTCCTCGTCCGATGAGCCGGGGAGTGGTTGCAAGTGCGGTGGGAATGCATCACACCCAACCCGCTGGGAGGCCCGGCCAACGGTCGACAGGCTCCCACCGCACCGCCTCCCTCCGACCTGCTCCCCACCGAACTGGGGGATCGCCTGCCGTGCCTCCATCCTGGCGTCCTTCATCGAAGACCTTGTTTTGCGTCGACGCGGCGGCATGTTCCCAAGGATACACACGCGGAAGAGAACCACGAGGAGCAGCAACAGCACAACGAGGAGCAGCAGCGGCAGCCTGCGGAACACATTAGCCATGAAAAAGTCGACGACGACGGCAGCAAACGGAAGACAACGTGGGCGCCAACATAACAGTGGAGCGCAGTGCTGCAAACGGCCGTCCCGACTTCGCAACAAACCCCCGAGGATGTCTTCGGTCTCCCACGGTCAGTGCGTAATTGGGAGCTGGAGTGCGGCCTTAAAAATTCGTATATGCCGACCGTTGGGACATTCCCGCGGATTGCCATACGCGACGACACAAGACGGTACCTTCTGGACATCGGGGATGCCGGTTGGCCGCAAACGGTAACCGTTGGAGTGAAGCCGAACGTTGCCGACCCAACATGTCCGTGGAGACGCAGCAGGACCACCGATGGACCAGACGGAATTGAAAAATGTCGTCGAAGGAGCTGCCATCAACGCCCCGATTCTTCCGGAAGCTCGACCTCCGAGGGACCTCGGGAGGTCCCTTGAAGAAATCGCCAAAATGGCTGTGGCCCCGAGGAATCCCCGAGGAATCCCCGAGGAAATGTTTTCACATTTTCTTTTCCGCGTCTTCCCCAAGGATGAGTGGAACGACCATTTCCTTGGGGAATTTCGAGCCCCAAGGAGTGTCGAACGAGGCCCTCTGTCTCCAGAAGATTGACTGTGCAGGTTGTTGGGAAAAAAGGGAATAAACCTCTTCGCCATGTACCAGGTGCCGGATTCCTCTTGCTGAGAGACTGGTTCCTCCCTCTCCCAACTACCTTTTACCCAAAAAAAAAAAAAAAAAAAAAACTCATCCAGCATTATCAATCCGTCTGTTCCACTCGATGACCTGGATGACCTGGATGATGACAGTTCGTCTCTTCAGAGATACTGCTTTCGTCTTTTGATTCTTGAACTGGATGACTGGATGACTGGCCGCTTTGTGCGGACACAGTCTCGCTGCCTGTGGCCTTCTGCTGGTGCTCTGAGGTGGGGGGTGCGTTCGCCGGGGGGCACCGGGGATTGACACTGCTTTATGACAGGATCTCCGATAAGGAGAGGGCATGGGTGTAAAAAGGGTCCAGGAAATCAGAGGGCCGGCGGAGCGGGAAAAAAGAATCAATACGGGTCCAGTCCCTGAAGACCAGTCTGTAGTCTCTTGCTTCCTCCAGGACTCGGTTACTACCCAAGACATCTCTACTCCATTCAACCATTGCTATCCACCCTCCCCTCTCCCCTCCCCAACCATTCTGTACTAAAGTTTGTGATTGCCCGTTTCACATCTCCTATTTGCTGATACATGTCCAGTTGGGTTTTCAAGGCTCGTCATCTGCATGTTAATTCTAACTGGACCTGTTGTTGAATTTGTTATGTGATCTCCTCTCCTTCGACGCATATTTTTTCCATGGTCAGTAGGCACCACTGCCACCATAAGGCCCACAGCACTGCTTGTCTCCCCAGCCTATACATATTATCTGTGAAGGCTGTTTTTTCTTGCAATGGCCAATGCCCCGCCAGGATCGCCTGCCAGGACCAGGGCCAGGGGCTTTGTATTCCGATCTTTCTCCACAGTGTCACCCTGTCCCACCATCTCCATGTAAACAGCGCAATCGGGCATTGCATGAAAATGTGTTTGATTGTTTCATCCTTCTTACAGGCTGGAAAAAAATGAAGGCACCGCAGGCACCAGGGACTGGCAGGCCAGTGTACGCGTCAGCAGGGCATTGCAAGCCCTTTCTGTTCCAAATTGGTGTGGTTTATCAACCAGTCATTGGTTGGCAGACATCGGTGTATTATTTGCCATTGCAAGGACGTGATCTTGGCTGGTTTCGCCATTTGCTCTTGGAACCACTTTATTGGTGTGAGCTGACTGTGGAAATTGGCCCATCATTCCATGATGACGTCTCTCAGCTTTCGCTCGGGTCTTAACATTCGGTACGCTGATTTGACTGTCATCTTTTGCAGACTGGTCTGTTTCGAGGGTGGACCAGTTCGCCTTGAGGGGGCTCTCCACTGCCATCCTAGTGGGTCAAAGGCAAGCTCGTGAATGCTTGTCTGTGGCTGGATGACCACCTGTTCCCCCCCTTCCTCGAGGACCCTGACTCTGTACAGGGTGTCCCGGTCCTGCCATTCCAAGGGAGCCCCGCTACCATCAATATTAGAATATTCTATCAGGGCCATTCGTGGGTTCGCTATATGAATTTGGCCCACCCGTCCCAGGTTCCTCCTTGCCGCAACCCAATCCCCTTTCTGCAGTGTAGGCCCCCGTCGCAAGGTCCTGTGCCGGGCCAGAAGAACTGACTCAATAATTACCTCTATGTGTTGTTCAATATGATGGCAGTACCGCAGGGATTCACGCAGTTGGTCTGCTGTCTTCCAATCATTTCTCTCGCCGTCCTACATGTCTCTAATACGTAGGACTCCCCACTTGATCCACCTTCTCCATAGTGCCTCAGTGTTAATTCTAACACAACCCTGCGAGTCCGAAAGCCACTTGTTTCCAAAGAGGGGTTGCCTACTTATCTCCTCCCATCGGTCCGGGTAGGGTTTGTCAGGAAGTGGTGGTTTGCACCACTTTATCAGCAGGGATGGCCAGGAAGTGGTAGTTCGTCCGGCAGCTGATCAGACCAGGGACCCCACGGAATAGCCCAAAACCGGTCCTCTAACCACGTCGTCGGGTGGACTTCCGGGGTGGTAGATGGAGCCAGGCGGCCTAGATGTTCCACGGCCAAGGGCGTCCACGAGCAATTTGGGTTGAACAGCAGCCTCTTGATCCATTGCAGTTGCAATGCTTATGTTTGAGTTGCCAGGTCAATTAGTCACAACCCTCCCCCTACCTTTGGTTGAACGATTGAGTCCCATGTCACTCGGTTGATCACATTGGTTATCTCACAATCTCCCCGCCAGAGGTAGGCCGCAACTCTGGCCTTGAGCGCTCTTGCTGCTACTTTGCTTAAGGGTCAGAGCAGGGGCTTGTACCATAGAGATGCAAACACAACATTATTGATTATCAGGGCTTTGACAAAGAGGGAGGTGGGTTTATCTTTCCAGGCCATTAGTTTGGATAGAGTTGGTGTCCCCACCCATTCATCATTCGTTGTTGGGCAGCCCATCGCTATCATAGATATGCCCAGAACCTATGTGACACCCTCACCAAGGGGTGCTCCGGCGGGCGTCCCCCTTGATAATGTATCCACCATCCTTGTGTTTTGCTACCCCAGTTGACCGCTATGTCAGAGACCCCCCCAAATCTCAACATCATCTGCTGGATTTCCTCCATGTTCCGGTGAGTCGTCTCCACTATTACCGTGAGGTTGTCGGCAAACAGCAAACATACCGGGACCTCATCCTCTGGGATATTGGCAATTTTAATCCTAGTAATATCCTTGTTGGCCCTCAGGTTTGTCGTCAAAGCCTCGATAATGATCAGGAATACGAGGGGGGCAATTGGATCCCCTTGCCTCACAGACCATTCCAATAGTATTGTCGGCATCAGAGAGCCATTAACCTGAACTCTAGTGGTTGGGTTCCGGCGAAAAATCTGCACCCATCTTCTGAAATTTGACCCAAAGTTCATTCTTTCTAAGATCTTGTCCAAAAATATCCAATCCACATGATCATAGGCTTTCTCAAAGTCTATGAACACTAAGGCCGTGTTTTGTTTCGAGTGACAGGTTAGCTGCAAGATTTCATGTACCAAAAGAATGTTTTCTTGTATATTCTGATTTTGCATAAAACCGGTCTGGTCCGGATGGATTATGTTCTCCATTAGGGGAATCATTCGTTCAACCAGGGTTTTGGCCAAAATCTTATACACCACTGTAAGTAGGGTGATAGGACGATAATTCCTGATGTCCATCTTATCACCTTTTTTGTACAGTAGGGTTAACACTCCTTGACCCACCATCTCCCCTGTGCGCCAGGCCTCCTCGTAGAACTCCATGACGCTGTTGCCCATGAAGTCCCTTGTAGCTTCCCATAATTCTTTAGGGAATCCGTCAATCTCGGACGTCTTCTCTTCTTCCATTTTCAATAGGGCTGCCCAGACTTCTTGTTTGGAGAGAGGCGCCTCTAAAGTTTCTCATTGCTCCGGCATCAGCTTCTTGTCTACCGGTTCTAGGAACTCATCTATCCTCTGGTAGTGAGCCTCACTGCCAACATCCGGTATGTGAGATGAGAAAAGGTCTTTGAAGAAATCACGTAAAATTTTGGTAAACCCTGCAGTCGCCAGGCCCGGTGCGGCGTCCCTCACAATTGGGTCATGTAGGGCATCGATCATGGTGCGTCGGATTCTTGCTCGAGCGAGACCAAAAAAACGTGCTTTCATCGCCCCCTCAGAAGAGAAGTGTGACAGTTCCCCCCTAATTCTTATCCCTTGTCATCGATAATGTGTGAATTGTAATAGCTGATTTTTAAGTTGTTGGATTTGGTCCTGGTTGGCTTGTGCGCTATCTCGCTGTTCTAAATCACAGAGTTGTTGCATGATTTCTATTTCTTGCTGGAAGTGTTGGGAAGCTAAAAGCTTTGAAAACTCATGGCACGTTTTTTAGAGGAAGAACGGACCATTATTAAACCATTTGATGTAGGATTCAATTTCCGGTTGGCAGTCTTGCCAGTATTCCCATACTTGTCGAAGATAGCCTTGGAAGGAGCCCAGTCGGAGCAGGGAGGTGTTGAGTTTATGGAATCCTGGCCCCCAATCGGGCCGTTTGCAGAAAGTGAAGACCGCTAAACACATCTTGTGGTCCAGCCCCGTGTATGGGCTTGAGGGTAGTATTGCAGCGGCGGTGAGGCCGCCCGCCAAGTCTTCCTCTGCGAGGATCAGATAAATTCGTGATTTAGATAGTCTATCCGGGTTATTGTTTTTGATGCACGTGAAGGCTCTCTCCGTGGGATGTAGGCGTCTGAAGGTGTCAAGGAGATTGAGGGATGTGCACAAGTCTCCGATCATTCTTTCATCCTCTTCAGCATAGTGGGCACAAGAAGGGGAGACTTTCCACCTATCCATCCATCTGTCTGGTGCGGCGTTTAAGTCTCCGGCTAGGATCACCGGGACCCCCTGCGGGGGTACTGCTTTCAGGTCCTCTAAAAGCTTTCTCCTACCTTGCACAGCA